ACTGCTCTGATTGAAATTCGACGATTTTCTCTAAGCATGCCTTCCACACATGCCACATTCCTGTCTGTTGATGCAGTACTCAATGCACCTGGTCGCGGCTTATCATTCATTCGTCTCTTGTCATCCGCTCTTAAATTTTCGACACCATTCCTTGACAGTTGGATACGCAAAAATGCGATTACATACACTACATGCATTCGCGTATGAATTTGAAATGGTTGCAAATCTTCAGCACACAAAAATTGAATTACCGCACGCTGAATATATTTGAACACATTGTTAACAACAAACGCCATCTTTAGGTCACAATACTTAAAATCTCAGTCAAATAAAAATGACAGGCACTGATCGGTGTGACGTCTGCAGACACAACTAACATTGCAAAATGTCAGTTAAGTGATTAGAATTGTTTCCTTTATGAGGAATATGGTCAATGCTATTGATATGCTCGTATTGGGGATACGCAATTTGAGTGTATGTCCGATTATCGGTGAGATCAAGATAGAGCGGCCAAGCACGAAGAAGGGCTGCATCAACACCCCAATTCAGAATCTCTTCAGCTGCTGGATAAGCACAACGCTTTCCAACGATTGAAAAAGACCAAGACGTACGAACTTGCTTTACGCCTTAAGCAGAGCATGTGCTTGAGTCTTAGTATTGTTCATAAGTTAAGATGATCTAAGTGCCAATTTAACCAACATTAATATTTGACGGTCAGTTGGACCAATAGAAAAAGACCTTAGCGAAATGCAATATGACGGAAACTGTCAAAGCTCTCTGAATATCAGTGATTTCTATTAAAATGTTGAATAAAGTCGTGAAAAAACGGTTGCCTTATAAATAAGGGTACACTATAGATGTAATATTATGTCTTTCTGCTTTAGAATCAGGACAACTTTCATAGAATTTCAAATTTTTGTCATTTCACAAAAGACGGACCAATGAAAATGAGAGAAATAATAGGTCGCTTTTCTAGCTATTATATTTAGTAGGATGTTTTCACTGTTTTTGACGAGTGTTCATGCATGGCAAGCTAGTTTTGTCTGTAAATCATGTAAACGGTGTTGTACATAATACATACCTGTAGAAATGTACCGATTTTTGTTATTTTGCAAAAAAAGGATATAAAACTGGCTCATCATCTTTTGTTACATCAAAAACAATTTTTTACAATTTATGTCACAGCACATTCTCCATTTCTGGGTCCTAAAACATCAATATCTGTAAAAGTATCCGAATCCACCTATTACTCATCATCTAGATATTATGAGTCAGAATCAAAAATACCTATTTATGAAAATAAATCGTTATATTTTCTTGTTATTTCTATTATTATAACACGTCTGGGATATCAATTGCTCTTAAAGTGATCTACACATCTGCAGTATTGCCGAACCGGCAAAAAAAAAAAACGGAATCGGTAAACAGTGTCGTTGCAATTGGTATAAGGAAAGTGCCGTCTCAAGATCAGTGGTAGATAAAGGACCGTTGACTCATGAAAAACGTCTGTTATTGTATTGGGCGCGCACACATCATGTTTTTTGAGGGCATAGTTCTATATTACAACTTCTACAGTGTGCATACTGGTCGCTCTTTCAAAGTACTTTGCAACCATTCTGGAAATCCTTTTTCGATTCTTGCTTATAATAGGATTGTGAATATTTTTCTGTTTCACGCCTGAACTCATGAACTCACCTCACATTTTAATTAAATATTTATTTTGAAAACAGACAGGTTTCGGTTTCTTTATTGCTTGTTCGGTGATGGGGTAATGACGGTAATCTATCAGTCTGTATCCTTTGTATGCACAAAAATCAATTCAGGGCAAGCGGAGTAACGGATGAGGATGTGCGTTCGTTATCATAGGCAACCCAAATCTACGCCTCTCATGTGCCCTACTGCCTTTTAGCTTTACTTTTGGTTTCAGCTCTATTTCGGCAAGTATAGAAGTATTTAAATTATTTTGAAAAATCTTGGAGAATGATGTTATCGGTAAATATTCTCTTTTCGGATGTTTAGATCCACGAAAAGTATCGATATGTATCGATTCCTATCGTTTTAGGAAGTATCGATACTCTAAAATATTGGAATAAAATTATCGATATCCAGCGGACGGAAACAAAGAAGAAAAGTAATCTGAAGTTAGTCACCCTTTCCCACACAGTCCGGATCGAAAGATGACGATACTCGTGAAATGTATCGATACACCCAAGTGTCGTATATAAGAATATCGATCCAAAATATCGGGTATTGGAAGCAAAAGTATCGTTACTTCTAAATATAGGATCGTATCGAACATTCCTACTGTCAAGATGTATAACCCGAGGTACCGACGGAGCATCATGGAAATAATTTTAAACTTTCATTTGCATTTTTTCAAGTGTTGTGCAACGATTTTGTGAAAAATTCCACGTATAGTCTTATAAAGCATAGTAGAGGATATTTCAACAGTTGGCGGAGCTTACTCCTCTGGGACCAAGGGTTGACGGATCCTACACATGTGTCACTCGTTGGGAAGTTTTGGAATGTAATAATCAGCTGCTATTCAAATAATATCTGATATAAATATAACCTAGAATGTGTACTCAGTGAAACAAGCAAGTTATTGCAAATTCTATTTTTTTTGCAGGTTTTAAGTTTGCCGGTAGCTTTACGACATATATTTGAGTATTTCTTAACCGCTGTAAATATAGTGTGGATGTTTTGTCAGTTCCCGAACAATCAAAAAATATTTGACTTTATGGATGCATGGATATCAAAAATCCTGAATGGTGTGGTGGGAATATTAATCGATGGTTCTGATGAACGGCAAGTAAATGAATGAATGTTTGGAAACGAGCAATATCTATCAAATTTTTGGTAGAGCCTGTCATCAAGTAGGTGCTCAATGGCTATCTCAATTGAAGAAAATAATACATATAAACATAAATAAACAATCGACAATATTAAATAAAAACATGAATTTTTTAAATTTTGTCTAAACTATATGTAATTTCTTAATATTCAATAAACTGGTGATATTTCAATGATAAGCTGTCATCTCATACTTTGACAGTGTTTTGTTTTGAACATTTCATAGCTATTGGTTGCTAAAATTAATTGATTGGAACTTGAAGCTCATTCGCTGTATTTGACGGACTGTTACCCTATAGGTGGAGAATAACGGACTGTTGATTTGACAATCTTGGTGAAATCCACCCCAAAGGACCAGAATTGATTGCCACTAGTGATAGGTATTAGTTTGTAAAAGGACACAGAAAAGTAAATTGTAGATCAGGTTGATTAGTTTTAATATTCGGGCATCAAAGCCACTCTGAAAACTAAACAAAAAATGTTGCTAATGTGCACCTAATACAAAACCACTCACAACATCTCGATATTAACGTATTTATTCTTTTTGGTTGACCTGTGAAATATTGGTCTCAAAGTGTAATCTGCATTACGTATTAGAACGGATATCAGAATCATTATAATAGTTATATGCTATATTTTTGTGTATATGTCAGCGTCAAACGCTGAAATCCGTCATTCCCTGAAATTCCTAGTCACTCCCCGTATTGCCGACAAACACCGCAAAAGTTTGATCATTAGAACGTTTGACTAAGCATTTCAGTCATTCCCTGTAATGACTGAACAATTTCGAACACCGTAACAACCTCATTAACTTCGTTACCCCATTCGCCTATTCTAGTCAAACGCTGTAAACTATACAATACTCCAATGAGTACAAAAGATAACAAGGTACTAACTACTTTATCAATAATATTAAAAGAAAAATAATCAAGCATTAGTTAATCTAAAAGGAATCAAGAAAAGATTAAAACGTTGTCTTTATTATTACATTATTGTAGGCATTAACCATTAATGTATTAAATCAACAAGAAATACAAACAGATGACCTTTTTATTGACTAATTTAGTTAACTAGCTAATTTATTTCATTTTTTTTCTAGAGTTATGCATATCCACAATACCGCAACAATACGTGATGCGCGTTTTTCAAACCAAATAAGAATTGATATAATCTCCCGATGGCGAAACGCGCCTCGAGGACGTGTATTTTTGATATAAATAACTCCAGTATGGATGAATAATATATTTTTCTTTATCAAGTATTTATGTACGAAATCTGGCATTAATGGATGCTGCTGTTGAGCAAGCCTATGTACGTTATAATCTAGGTATGGTTCACAAAATTATAAAAATTAACTTACCTCATGTAACTCATTTACATTCCATGTTTTTTCTTATTCACACTGTCATAGTATTCACTTAGTTTTTTGTGAAACAATTCTTTATAAACACAAAAGACGATGTGTACACTCAAGCAAATGAACACAAAACTGATACAATGAGTGACTGAATCAGGCAAATGCAGTAACGAATATAATGTGGTTGTTACAGTGTTTGACTAAAATTGTTCAGTCATTACAGGGAATGACTGAAATGCTTAGTCAGTTGTTGTAAAATCAAACTGTTACCGTGTTTGCCGGCAATATTTGGACGGACTAGGCATTTCAGGGGACGATGGATTTTAGCGTTTGACGCCGACATATACACCAACATGTAAAATAAACCTTTTTCTTTTTAGTTGCCAATGTCCAGTTCACTGCTCGTACCGTCCCATTGCTAGATTCACAATCCACCGAATCCATTGTTGCGAACGGATTTTCATTTGGATTCCATGTGTAGAGCTCTCGCATTCAGTCCAAAGTCGCTGCTGTACTAGTTTCCATAATGACTTAATTCGAGCGTTATTAATGTATACACAAGTGTTAATCAAATTATCACTAATTAAATATCGAACACGGAGGGAGTTTCCAATTCGGGCAGATCCTAGAGCTGGTGTAATGTTGTACCGGGAGACTCAGCTTGGAAAGTAGTGCTACTGAAATTTTGGAAATCTGCACTTGGGGTAGGAGGCTATATTAACAGGTTGACTGCCAACTACGAGATAACTCGTCGATTGCATTCTTTTCTAGGACGCCAACTACGAATTACCTCGTCCTCTGTATACTTGCCATTTTTGTGCAGGTACGATTAAACTCGGAGTATATATCAGTGATAATATCAGTAAATGGCTTCTGGGAAAAGAACAAAAAATCAATGCTGGCTTGCATGGACAGAACATTTATTAAACACGAACAAAACATATAATTATAAAATTTAATTCAAATCCAAGAAATAATAATAATAATAAAATCAAAATAATAATTATAATTATTACGATTATTTACTCAATGTACAAAGAGAGCAAACAAGATGAGTAAATAAATATAGAATCAAAACAGGGCAATAGAAGGCATTGCCTGTACATGGACCAATAATTTTAAGTTGCAACTGTAGAATGCAAATGACAAATGTACTTGATGTTCGTATTTATGAGTTTTTAAATTTCATTACTAGATATAGAATGTAGCCACTTTTTTAAATTTCTTTTGAAACAATTTCCCAAATGTAAATTTTTTAAATCTTTAGGTATAATTTCATAAAATTTTGTCGCCAAATAGAGATATGACCGCTGCATTATAGATTTATGCGGCTGAAGAGCTACTGTGCCACGAATTTTGTACCTTGTGTAATGATTATGTTTAATTTCTTGGTCGGTGTTGACAAATTTATGGTAGTGAGTATAATTTGTCAGTGGGACAAAGTTTCGGTTCCCTAAACATCATTTTTAGAATCATTTTTTGGAAAACATCTAAATTACAGATATGTGAGGAACATGCAACTCCCCATGCTAATATACCATATGTGAGATTAGGCTCAATCAGTGCATGATGCAATGCTCGAAAATATTTTTCCGTCGGTATATTCGCAAGGTATTTAATTCTGTAGGATACAGGTCTAACTTTCTTTAATATATAATTGACGTGGATGTCCCAACGTAAAAGAGGATCCAATACCACTCCAAGGTATCTTATGTTCGGTACTCTATTAATTTGCATTTTTTGATCATTAATGTTGAAGGAGAAATTTATGTAATTTGGCAGATGTTTAGCATTAGGTCCAAATGGTAAAAAGTGTGTTTTAGAATAGGTAATGCTTAATTTTCTACTATTAGACCACCGAATAATTTTGTTAAAATCATTTTCAATTACACTTTTTAGATCAGACCAGTCAGTGTCTTCGTATAATATTGCAGTATCATAATATTTTTTTGTTTGTACAATTTCTGAAAATTGTAATTGCAGTCATCGTGCTAATACAATCGATAATACCTACAGGAAAAATCGTTATCAGGTAGCAATAATAATGTTTATTGACTATTTAACTAGAACGAAATACTATGAAAGCCTAAAATAATATAAGCATTAAAATCCACTGAAGCTGGGCTTGTGCGTGGTTGTATACTTTTACTAAACAAATATGAGCAACAACATACACTGGGATATGGGGAAGGGCAAACGCTTAAGTTTTACATAATTTAATTTTAAACTAGTTGAGTGACATGTATATATAAGCAACCGTAACAGTTTGAGGATTATATTTTAATATTTTGAAAAGGAAATAATTCAAACTGTATGAGCCCTGAAAGTGTTAAAACTGAAACCTATCTAGTTTTTTTTACATCAACTAGTTCTACCGCAGATGTTCTAGGCTTAGTGAGAATCGATCTTTGTACTATGTGTGGTTACATATTTTTGGAGTCAATTATTTTATTCTCTTCAGGTATGTCTGCATATGCCCTTAGTGGTAGGTATGTATAGCACCGTTGACCGATTGTTTTATTTGCTCTTGGTATATAGACGTTGCTCGCTTCCGTAACGATGTGACACATGGTTAGAATTTGAAAAATGGACATGTTTATATTTTAGCAGTATTAGTAGGTCTGTCGGATATCCATTAGTCCTGGCTATGTACAGTTCGTCACTAGGCTAAGTATAATTCACGTTTATCATTACCCTAATAAGCCATTTTTGAACTGCCTCCGCTCATTTTAGGTATGGGAGCATAATACAATGAGCGAAGCTGAGGTTTGGCGAGGAATGTTCTTAATTGTCCCAGGGTTGCTGTCAAAAATCTTCAGAACTTAAAGGTACCGATTTTTTGTTTTGTTTTTCAGTCATATCTGTATGAAATCATGTTTTACCATTTCTGATAAGTATTCACTTTGTATGATGCATGAATACATTTTACCCGGGGGTCCAGTCAAACTGGATAATATGTATCACTATGTTTTACTTGGATATTTTTCCCAATTCTACATTCACTGATATCCCTGCTCGCGTCGCTTCCGTAGGTGGGCTGTCATTTGGTTTTGCCTCGGGTTTTGCGAAACAAAACCCAGCGAAAGTGTTTCGTTTCGTTTCTCTTCGCTTCGTTATTCACTTTGCTGGGATCTTTCCTATAGTTTGAAATGAACTATCGTCTGAGAAAATACCTCGAGCATGAACCACATACTTGGTATTCTTCAAAGTAATTCAATACTTATTCTCTATAACCCAAAATATCAAAATGAATTACTCATTACTACCGCACCACTAGTCTGGAGAACATTGGACATCCACCATCTTTGCAAACTCAAGGTGTTAGTGAAGCACTCACCATATTGGCACTATTTGGTGCTATCACTTTTGAAGGTGCTACTCGTGAACACTTGATTAAAATATTCCTGAATAATAAGCAAAAAACAGTTACTGCGACTGAATACTGATAAAAAATAAGGCAACAGGTACTAGACAACTAGTCGTAAGTTGCGTTTCCCATGTTCACTACAATGCCACTTTTGTCACAGAATAAGAATTTATAATAACTGGAATCAATTTACATATTTAAAATTGAAAACAGATTTTCTTAGGGGACTATGTTATTATGGCACGTTGGCGACTCCCATGCTGAGAATAGTTTTATAGTGGTCACGGTTTCGAGCTTCGTGTAGCAACTAGCCTGGCGTCAGTCCAGCTTCTTGCTCTAAATTTCTCTACCAAGATACAGTACGTTGGAGGCCAATTTCTCGAGGAACCTCCTTGCTTCTAGTTTTACTGACCCACGGTATTTTGAGGCATAGTGTTAACCAAGTTTTGGCAAAAATTTGGTGTAAAACAATCCCATATTTCTTGAAGCTTTTGTCTCAGTTCGGTGATTGTACGAACAGGATGTTGTAGAACCTTTTTCATCTCGTGCCACAAAGCTTCAATAGGTGACAGATCTGGACTGCTAGAAACCCATTCCAAAAGTGGTACATTATTTTCTTCCATCGATTTTATAGCCTTTTTTGAGGTATGGCATGCTGCACCATCTTGCTGAAACACAAAATCTTGGCCGGATGTCAAACAGTCTTCTATCACTGGTAAAAGCGATTCTCCTAAAATTGCCAAATATTTGTTTGAATCCACATTTCCAACAATAAAATGAAGTTTTCCTACTCCTATCGATGACATACTGCCCCAGACCATAACGGATGCTGGAAATTTCACTTTTCTCTTCAGACAGTCAACATGGAATGCTTCATTTTTTTGCGAATAACTCTACTGCGACTGTCACCAACACAAACTTCGAATCGGGCCTCATCACTCCATTGTATTGCACGTCATTGTTGAGGTATCCATTGTCTATGTTCTTTAGCCCATCTAAGCCGATTTTTCAGTTAGGAGTTAATGGTGGCTTTTCTTTGGCCTATAAACAAGTTGTGCAACTTTAGGGTTTTTACGTCACTTTTTTTTATAAGAAGACTTACCTTGCAAGTGCTAAATCCTAGTTTGTGGAGCCTCTCTATGAGTTGTGGACCTCGAAATTCTCCTTCCAACAGCGTCACTCCACAGAGCACTTAATTGTAAATAATTGGCAAGACTGTTTTTCACGATTATTCTTCTTAATGCTCTTCGGTCGGCATTTGTGATATTACTTTTTTTCACATGTCGTGGCTTAATATTAACCGAACCAGCTACGTTATATCTTCTAACAATATTTCTCACACTGTACCGCGATAAGTCTAACAAAGTTGCAATGTCTGAGTCTTATTACCCAGAATTAAAAAAAAATAATTATCAGTAACCGAATTTTCTCACTAATAACCTTTCCTCTACCCATTTTGAAAACCTTAACTACCCAAAACTATTTTAAACGTATTCTGACAGCTGTGATTAATAAAAACAATTGTCATGGCTTTTATTTTTCACAGCCACCTATACGTTATAGACTTATTTTGCATTGAAATGAAAATAGGTTGATAGGCTGTAATTGCAACATATGTTATTTTTATGCTGCAAATTTGATTAGGGAGTGATAAAGTTAGTGTTTTCTACTATATATTATCAAAATATTCATTGTTAATATTTTAAATCTATAAAACCCTGCTACATTTTTATTATTTGTATTTGATAACAAAAAAAAAACTATTATTTCAATAGTTGGGCCAACTAAAGTGGGAAGGGGCTCGTATTCTTCGACACACTCACGGTCCTGCACATATTTGAAATGCCTAAATTTTTTAAAATCTGGTTCTCGCCTGTTTAGTTCGACACTTGATTTGCACTGATCTAAGTCTTGGGAGCAAATAAAACTGCAGTATTTTTGAATGTAGTTGACGGAAGGAGTATCAGTATTTTTATGTCACTGTCAATTTCTGTTATCACTAAGTACAAATTGCAATAGCAAATAATGAGAAGAATGAGTCAATCTTTTTATAACGTCGAACGATTTTTTAGGATCTCATTTGGCATACGAGGGCTATATTAAAATATACCAATTCCAATTTCAGAAATAAATGCTTTTGTCTCGAAAGCACTACTCGTATCATCAGAGACCTTCCTTCGTGAAAACTCAGCTTGACCTCCCTGTAATTTTCGACAGAGTCACAGACACATGTAGTAGCCGACTCCACACCTAGAGACTGGTTCAGATACTCTCGGTAACAAGAAAGTTATAATTGAATATTAGATACTGAAGTAAGAACGTGTATATTCACAGTAATTGGGTTTTCGTAATCTGCTTTTAGATCTTTCCCTGGTTTGGCACCCAATTTAGTTTTTGTTACAAATGCTGGTTTGACAGGCCTGAATATTATACTCGTACATATTCCTCTTTCGTCGCCAAGAGAAAGATTAAATACATTGCTTTATCATATAACTTATATTGAGAACGCATATACAGGATGTTTCAAATACAACCCTCACCAATGCCATATTGGAAGCTGTAAAAGATAGGAAGTCGCTTAGATAGGGACAAAGTTTTAGTCATACTTAGGCAATTAACAAAATGCCGCTTAAAAAGTTCCGAAATTCAAAGTACTTCCGAAGAGAGACGGAAGAAATCGAATTTTTCCAAAATTGTTTACATTTTTGTAGTGGGATTTCGAAATAAATTGCACATTAACATTGCCACTTCTTTTTCTCTACAAGATGCATAATTACAATTTCAATATAACCTTAGTTATTTCAATCAAGCAGAATTTCCAAAAGGAAAGATAAAGCTGATGCTGGAGGATAAGAAAAGAAACGGCATAATGAGATTATGCCATCATGTGGAGGAAAAAAGTGACAATATTGACATGCAGTTTATTTTGGAACCCCATCTCAAATAATGTCGGAAAAAAATAAAAGTGATTTTGAGTTTGTCTTGTACCTATGCGAAACAAATGACTAACTGATAATTTTAATTCCTAACTGAGAAATTCTGATTTTTGTGAAATAACTTGGCTTCTTCATTGCCAATGTATGACGTATTATACAAATTTGGAATCAGAATTGCAAACTATTCATCTGTGAAAATAAGGTTGATGCTGGAGGGCAAAAGATGAAACGTCATATTCAAATCCTAATTAAACCATCTTGTAGAAGAAAAAGAGTGGTAACGTTAATGTGCAATTTGTCCTGAAATCCCACTACAAATAAAGTCAGAAAAAATTAAAACGGTTTTGGGAAAATTCGGTTTTTCCGTGTTTTTCCGCAACTTTGCCCCCATTTAAGCGACTTCGTATCTCTTACAGTTGCCGAGATCCCAATGGTGGGGGTCGAATTTGAAACACCCTGTTTAATATTATAATAAGAAATGGAAATTCATGTAAGGACGGTCACTTTTTTATAGCTCTACTCTTGTTACATTGTTAATGAGATTCAAGAAATGTATCCTATGATAATACATCCTTATAAAGTTAACTACAGACAGTGTATGTTTGCAGTAAATGGGAGTTGTTATCTGGTCCATAGTTTGTTTTTAGCTGCATAGGTCTTGTACACTATTCCTCTCACGTTTTTCTGTGTTATACTTTTCGTCATTAGATTAGCTATGAATGACCTTGGGTGAGTGACTTGTCTGTTACGATATTTGTTGTAGGATATCCAAATCGTACCTTTTACATCAGGTTTGTTTAGGTTATTTCAGATCGTAACATACCTTAGCGCATTGATTATGGGTTTAAGTTTTTTAACAACATGTACTTGGCTGTTAGCGGCCCAGAACTGTAAATTTGTCATTTTTTCCCTGGTCAGAAGTGTCTTTTCAAAAAACCCTCCAATTTACCAAAATATATGTAGAAATCATACCTAGGGTCAGAATGATTTAGATACTTTAGATCAATACGTCTGTCTGTCGGTGTTCGCCAAACCTCTGAACCTAGCGCAATTTGAAATGTTGATTTTGGAACAAAAGTTAGGGTACATGTACGAGTCACTTCCTCCATTTAATAGATAAAATGAAAACGTTTTGAATCTGTAGTCGTTTACTTCGAATATCTGACAAAAGTTCTATATGAAGCCTACTAATTTATTGATGCTTGGATGCAGCCTTGTCATGCTTTCTCTTTGCACTTCATTTTCAAGTGTCCCTTAACTCAAAACCACTGTGATACACAGGCCTGCGATTAAGCTCAAATTTAACATCGCAAAAAAATATGCGAGAGTTTAGTCATATCTGTCCTAAATGACTGTGATATTATCTATTTTCCGTCATAAGATTGATTTACAAAAAGCATTATCCAAAACATTCAAAATAATTGTGCATGGTTAATTTCTTTATTACGAAAATTGGACTATGTTTCAGAAAAATTAATAAATATTGAAGTGGATGAAATTATATATTTCGTTAGAATGTGCACACCATTAAGATACAAAATATAAGACTTCCAGCGCACAAAACAACATTATCTGAACGAAGTTTTTCGTATAATTTAGCTAACAGGTATAATTCAATACCTGTAGCGTATGTTATACGAGTATTCTTTGTCTATATTCCGCAACAAAATTAAACTGGTTACAAATTGACTATCCACTTAATCTTATCATTTCTATATATATGATGTATTCTAATTCTTGATTTAAGAATTTTGTGATTTTGTTCTTGTTTGTTTTTTTCCTTAAGATAGGACATACATTTCTGTGTTGTGTTACCGATCGCTAACAGGAGGGGTAGCGAATGCTAAACTTCGCCAATCAGTTAATCTGTTTACAAATAAAGACGACTGTTATTATTATTAAATGAGCCATTGAAAGCCAGGATGGTCCAAGTCACAAAAAAACGTTTCCGAGATTTAAGGCTTTAAAGTTTAGATGCGGCTGATAAATGTAGAATAATAAAACTGCAGTAAGAAGTCAAAATACCCTTAAAGGTAGAATCAATTTAAGTATCTTATCATAAAATACATGAACATTTTGTGTTCATGTGTTTTTTTTCATATGTTTAAGCTTTAGCCCACTCTGCCTTAAAACGGTTCTTACCTTTGGTTTCATACTTGTATAACGATTATAGTAAAGTGGAGTATTAAAGTAGACTAACACAACATTATGTGAATTGATAATTTTATTACAAAACGACAGAAATCAATCTCCATACAGTAAAAAAATAATGTATATTTTCTACACAAAAACTGTACTGTACTGAAACGACCTTATGGATTTTCTGGAAATTCTCGAGTGTGTTCGCCTTCTCCTTCTTCTTCTTCAGTAACAAGCAGTGGTCCGGTATTTGACAAAGTTGCATCTGTCTTCAGATTCTTGAAAAAACTGCGATGAACTGGTGGTATGAATTGGAGAAGCTCTTCCATGTTTTTCTTCTTTTTGTCGTTGACAGGAAGAGGGGATTCATACAAAGTAGGTAGGTTTATATTTTTGAAGTTTTTGGGTGCGCCTTTTCGATTTGGTAGTAAATTTATAAAATCATATGGAAATTCTTCAATGTTTCTTTATAAAAAATTTTGTAAGTTTTTCTCAAAGTGTACCCACTGGATCTGGAGCCATGATACAGTGGCATTAGTACCATTTTTCTTTCGTCTTGTTACAGCTTTCTCTAATGTTGTTGATGAGAAAAAATCAGACCGTTCCACAGACTGATGCCATCTGTGTGCAAAACGAAAAGATACATTTTTCAAAACTCTCCCAGATAAAGATTCATCCAACCAGAACAGTATACACATAGAACCTCGATATCTGAGAATTTGGACTTGGACTGTCTCGGCTTTCAACGGCTCAAATATGAAGCAAATTTGTAAACAACTTTTTTAAAACGTATTGGCTAAGGCCAATATTAGCACATAAACAAATCCTGTACTTATCCGGGGTTACTTAACTCACAAGTTGAGCTCAGCTTCGGTCCTTGCTTAGAAGATGTAAGATGTTGTATGGTTGTCACGTTAGACTACTAGATCAGTTAATGTGCTGGAAATTATTAATTCTGAGCATTTATCATGGTAAGCTCATGGCGCTTTTGACTTCTAGGGCATTATAACGAAATTCCGCTTTCACTTTTAGAATGCAACATACATGTCTTGTTCGGTATTTTCCTTGGAGGCGCTATAATATTGGATTCAGTAACATAAACTTCTAAGACACAAAGGTACGAAATTCTACACAAATCAGATGCATTTATGAAAAATCTTTCAAAACTTTGTGTCATCCATTTAGTTTGACATTTAAATCGTAATAAGCTACATTGAAAATATTAAGATATACCTTTACAAATCGGATGCATATCAGAGCAAAAAGTCCGCTGTTTCGAGACTGCTATTTTTTTATAGCCAACGGTTTCGTAACCAGTCACCTTGTAAACATTTATGTAGCAAATTTTGTTCAAACAACGTGTGACTTAACCACATTTCTGGCGTTTTTTATCACTTTGCGGCTGTTTCCCATGTATCCTATAATTGTATACGGTAGCAACAAGTTCTTCTGTATCCCTGAAAACTGTGAAGAATCAGCACCAAGATACTGATACATTTAGTTTTAAGCCACAGGCGTATCCAGTTCTGGGGGCTCAGGGATCCTGCAAAGGGTTGGGCACCAAAACCTCATTTGAAAACGCCAGGATTTTAAGGTGTATTATGAAATTATATCGATATATATATATGCCAGTACACGAAACAGAGAGTAAAGGACTTCAGTTTGACATCGCTAGAGGATAGGAGACAACTCATGCCGCGGTTTGAACATCCGAATGGAGCCACAAGTATTGTCTAATGCTGTGCAGTTTCCTCTTCCTATTATTCAGGCTGTATATATTTAAATAACCTTCTCAAGTGCCGCTTTTACGATATACTCGCGATGTCATTTATTTGTAGCGCATGGTCCTAAGACAAAGAACGGCACTTTTCGGTTTCGCCTTCCCACTGCCACCTCAGTGGAATATCCTCGCTAGCAAACTGATAGATACTTTAAAAGGATAATCCTTTCACACTCACACAGAAAGCGTCTTTTGGGAAATTGAAAGACAACTGCGGCCATCGAAGCTGTTACCTTGTTTCCTCGTGACAGTTCTAACGATACAATGGAGAGCATTAGTCCCAAATGCAAGTAAAAGAATAAATACACATTTGTGGTATCCTTTACAAGCCAAAGTACTGGCTCTTTTGATATAGAGACATTGAAAAAACGAATTCATTAGCCTATTTTTATTTCTGCAGGAATTCTATGTAGGACGTTAATTAGTAACATGCTGCAATTACATGGGTGCATTCCTAAATAAAATTTAAGTGAAAAAATTCGTATAAACATGTGTCCTTAAAGTCTGATTTTCAGGATATAGGGTGTCAAAGTCTTGAAAAAAAGTTTCTTATTAATACCCCAACGAAGCTTGTAGCGATTTTGTTAAATATTGACACTGTTGTTCATTGCACGGTAAGTTAGTACTAGTTAGAAGATTATTAGGAACTCCAGTGGCGTGTCACCAATAGTATTCATAACAAAAGTCTGCGCCACTGAGTTTTTGGAGAAATATATATTTTTTCCGCGTTAAGCAGCTTATGCTAAACATTTTTTGTTTCCTGGTACCTATTTGTAATCGACTTCATTTTCGAGGACACAAATAAATATACTTTATCACAGGTCGAAAAGTCGAAGACATCATATCAAGTCAACTTTGGCCGGTGCTAGAGAATGTGGTTCAGTTGTTATGAATTGTTGACTTTTCACTTTATTTTTATTCTGTCAAGAGGTAGATCGTACTTTTGAACTAGTTTCCAAGGTATGTATTTGTATGTTGCTTAGTAACACTCTAAATATGAGCGTCTGCAGGAATTTCCTAGGGGGACAATCACAGACAACATGCAACCTTTGGTGTAAGTTATTCCTTCAAGATTTTCTGAATAGCGAGTGGTAGCAAATCTGTTAGGAGCCAAAGCCGGATTCTTGGGGAAGCCCATGATTCAACAACACTTACGCGGTTGTTCGACATAGCGGCTTAATAGTTTGGAAATCTTCTATACCTATATACGTATGACTTAAAATTCTCCTTTACCAAAATAAGGGTATGGAAGTTGTGTTCACGAAAACAAATGACGTGGAAACTGGAGAACTTTTATGTTTTCAGAAGATAAGAGAATATCATTCTCAACGTCAACGACTTTTTCGAAGCATCGTTTTTTCGACAGAGTATCTCACATGGATTATATCACTTGTTAGATCAGTCAAACATTCAGCTTTGTTTATATTTTATTATAAGAATACTTTTGATTGACGATAAATCTAAACAGCATCAGTACACGAAGGCTCGATTTCACTAACCTTTGGAGCTTAGACCAATGGGAAAAGACGTTATCGAAATGCAATTTGACGGAAGCTGTCAAAGCTATCTGAATAACAGTGATTTCTATTGCATTATTGAATAAAATCGTGAAAAAGCGATTGTATTATAAGCACGAGCACCTTTTGGTTCCAACATGATGCTTCTATACAGAGAAAACAGGGCAACTTTCATGTATTTTGATTTTTTTTATCAATGTACATATAATAAATACATCGGTTATCCCTTTAGCCAATGGGAATGCAAGAAATAATAGGTCGATGTTCTAGCTGTTAAATTTGATAGCAAGTTTGGACGTTTGTTAAAGCATGGCAATCTCGAATTTGTCAAGTTCAATATACTGAGTGTTTATATGTTATCATTTTGCATGAAAAAGAATGTAAAATGTATTCCACCCAGTTCCTCACCTTTCGTTACATCGTAGTAATAATCATTTATTATCAATTTATGGGTTAATGAATTTCTT